GCTGGTGAGATAGTACAGTGGTTAAGGTGCTTGTCTTGCATGCAGCTGATCCTAGTGTGGGTCCCAACCCCGCATATGGTCTCCTGAGCACAACAGGTGTGACTCAGTTATCCTCCTTTCCTGTTTTGAGGACCAGAGAACCAACTCAGGGGGTTGAGTGCATGCAAAGCATGCATTGCATATGGCAGACCCAGGTTTGAATGCTGGCACTACATGAGAGTGACACTGGACACAGAGCCAGGAGCAGCACCTGAGCACCATGGGGCGTGACCCAGAGTGAGGCACTTTGTTTGGCTTTCTCAGATACCACTAGGCAATCTTAGGATGATTGTGTACAAGGTTTCAGATCTTGTAAGATCTGAAAAATGACCATTCAGGGCCATTCAGGGCCAGAGAAACAGCTCATGGGTTAGGGTCGTATGTCTTGCATGCGCACAGACCTGAGTTTGATTGCTGGTATCAGATACCCCTGCCCCCATCATTGCGGGAGTGGCCCTGGTGGCCCCCCACCCACCTCAGGATCACTGAGCCCAGGAAGCATCCCACTGCTAGGTCCTAGCTTTGAAATGTTTGACCACCTTGGTCAAGTTTGCTGGGATGGCAGCTGAGGCCCCTGAAGTCATTCTGGACAATTGAAGTCATCAATGACCTTTATAGGAAACTGCCAACTTCACCTGATAGCCTGTACCCCTGCTCACGTGTGCTCTGTTGCTAGTCATCATGCATAAAGCCAGAATGCACACATCAGTTAACGCTGCCCACCCAAAAACGCTTCAGTCTCCTTGATTCTAACGGAATCTGCTTCTGATCTCAGTGGTATCTCCCAAACTTCTCTGTGATGTTTTCTCTGCTTAATGAAGCCCTTGGCCATCACTGCTGCTTTGAAAATCAAAGTCTTTTGGTCTCTAATGGAATGTTTATAAAAAAATACTCCATTTTGAAATTTGCTCAGGAAAGGAAGTATGGTAAATGATGTTAGAAATCCCTCTGGCTTGCCTTGTCATTGATTCATTTAATGTTTGCACTCTGGAAATATCTGGTACTAGTGAAATATCTGGAATAAGAGGGTTTTAAAACCCCAAGATAAATAACCTTTTATCCCCGTTGACCCCTTTCATGAATATATAACATCATATGCTTCCTTGATAGTTATTTCTGTATAATCTAGTTAATAGCCAAATTTAATATAGGTATCTTAAGGTTAAAAAAAAAAAGCAAACAGTTAAATTGTTCGGTTTAGTAATATAGTGGCTCATGATACTACCATGAACTTCAGCTTCTCCTGCAGTGTTGGCTCTGTCCAGATAGAGGGATAACACTGGTTCAAGAAATAACTGAGTAATGGGCTGGAGCGATAGCACAGCGGGTAGGGCGTTTGCCTTGCACGCAGCCAACATGGCTGACACAGGTTCGATTCCCAGCATCCCATATGGTCCCCTGAGCACCTCTAGGAGCAATTCCTGAGTGCATGAGCCAGGAGTAACCCCTGAGCATCGCCGGGTGTGACCCAAAAAGAAAAAAAAAAAGAAAGAACTGAGTGAGAACTGCTGTGTGCCTTGGGTAAATGCAGGAAGCTGCTTACCAAATATAAAACAGACATACATTCCTGTTACTTTTTTTTTTGGGGGGGGGTGCAATTCACAGGGGTTACTCCTGGCTCTGCACTCAGGAATAACTCCTGGCGGTGCTCAGGGGACCATATGGGATGCTGGGAATCGAACCCAGGTCAGCCCTGTGCAAAGCAAACACCCTACTCCCTGTACTATCTTACTATCTCTCCAGCCCCACATTCTTGATTTTGGAGCTTGTGCTCCAGCAGGAGGAGAGTAAACAAATGAAATAGATTGATTCATCAATTGATCTCTTGCAAGTTTTTTTTATTCTGTTAGTTTGGCCACCCATACTCCCTTACTAGCATGGGATGGATCATTCAGAGTGTTGCAGACTGGAAAGTATTAAAGTGGAACTTTGGAAATTGAACGCAGTGACCTTTTTAGGAAACTGCCAGCTTCATCAGTGACTTCTGCTGGCTCATCCCCCTATTCGTGTATGCTCTGTTAGTAGTCATCATTATTTCTAACCACTTTTCTCTGAAGCAAGACAAAAATGATTGGATTTGCCTTTTTTTTTTTAACTTATCCAAAACCATTTGTTAACTTAAAAAAGAATTAATTATGGGGGGTAGGGCTAGAGCAATAATAGAGTGGGTAGGATGCTTGCCTTGCACTCAGTTTTGATTTCTGGTGCCCAAGGACCTCCAGGAATGATTCCTGAGCAAGGAGTTAGGAGTAAGTCCTGATGTGGACTTACTACCAGGTGTCACCCAAAAACAAACCACATAAAGTGAAGTTATTGGGGCCAGAGAAGTCAGAGACCAGTGCAGCAGGTGAGGTGCTTGCCTTGCACCGAACCAGACCTGGATCCCCAGCACCATATAAGGTTCCCCAAGGCCACCAGGAGTGATTTCTGAGTACAGAGGTAGGAGTAAATTCTGGGAATCGCTGGTCGTGTTCTGAAAAACAAACAAATACAATTGTTATATATAGAGGCAAATGTGGCATTTTTAAATGATACTCTAAAGTATCATCTTTTGGGAAATGTTCCTTTATTTGTTTCTGGTCTTTCCTAGGTAAGCCTCTGAGTTCCCCAGGATATTCTTTAGCTATTATCTAGTCATGTTTGATTTTAAGTTGTTGGAGGTTTCATCTGAGGATATCTTTATTGTAAAAATTGCACTTAAAAGCAGATTTGGGCCGGGGGGGGGGGGGGGGGGGCAGAGAGAGAGAGAGTTTCTTTCGTTGGCTCAGGCACTGCCTTGCAATCCCAGGCACTAAGGCACTACCTCTGTCCAGTCATTCCCAAATGCTGAGCCTGAGCCTGCAATGGCACCTTAGGGTGTAGCCCATTCCTCCCTCCTCCCCTTCCCCTCCCCCCCATAAAAATATCTTGGCAAACTAGTTTAAAACTGTCACCTTCGTTACTGTATTAAACATGCTCCACAGTTTTGGGGGGTATTTGATCGTGCCAGAATAATGATAATCAAAAACACATATTTTTTTGTTGTTGCATGCACTTCAAAATTGTTGTTTCCTTGTTACTATTTGCAGGAGGATGGGGGGGTGTTGAAGGCAGGGCATCCCTCCTGCTGTTCTGGGGCCCAGAACAGCTGTTGGGGGAGGGGGAGAGAACTCCTTCATTTAGGGAAACTTAAATTCCGAAAGCTACATATTGTAGTTGTTGTTTTTGTTTGCAGTTGTTTTTTGTTTTTTTAAAAAAGGTTGTAGGGAGCACGCTCTTTTCTGAGAGTTCAGTTAATTGCAGTGAGTGGATCAATAGTCAGCGATGTGTCTTTGAAAGTCCTTTCCAACTCTGCGATTTTATGAATCAATATTTACCTTTCCCCTGTTTCTTTCTCCGTGAGTGACAAGAGGAGGGATCATGGTAGGGTGAGCTGGAGAGTGACCTGAGCTAGAACCTAGGAAGGAGTTCATGGGATTCATAGAACATATGATTGTTGGCTGTAAGACATATGACTGCTGGCTCCTTCTGCCTTTTTTTTTAAGTAGTACATTTTCTATTTGTAAATATTTTTATAATCAGAAAAATAAACCTAATTAATTTTAAAACACAAATTTTAGAGTTTGCATTCTCGATACTCTGCCTCCAGGGAACCTTAAGTTGTTTAAGGTAGATCAATAGTTGTCCTCCAAAAAAGGATTAAGAAAGGACTCTTTTTTTAAAACAAGCCAAGCAGCAACACTATGTGTCTTGGAGAGAAGTTCTTTTCTTGGTCTCAGAATGTAAAACCTTACATGGTTATGGCTCATAAAAAGGCAGTCTCCTGAAAGAATTTTCCTTGGTGTCTGAGATAGAATTTAAGATAGATGTCTGTGTCTCTTAGAGTTGAGATAGTCTCACTGGCCTTTGTATTCCTCACTCCACATATTTTACCCCATACTAGATGCCCAAAATTGTTCCCTATTTCTGAGTTATGTATCCTTTCTTTTGTTGGTTTTGGGACCATACTTGGTGTGTTTTGTGTTAACTCCTGGCTCTGTTCAGGGATCATTCCTGTCAGTGCTGGGGGACAGCATGCAGCCCTGAAGATTGAACCCAGGATCTGTACTGTGTAGGGCGTGTACCTTAACATGTGTACTAAGTCTCTGGCCTCTATCCTTTCTTAAAAGAATAAAGAAATCCAGGTAATCCTGATGGAAAGAAGTGAATTTTACACGTGATCTTTTCCATTTACTCTCCAAAATGTTCCTTTTCAGAAAATGTGAAAATGTTTTTATGTATAATGTATTGGAGCGATAAGCACTGACTTTGTATTTCAAAGTTGGAGAAAATGAGATTGATGTCCCTCACAGTTGTAAAATGCCAAAAATAAGTAGAGCTGAAATGAATTAAAGCCCAGTGTTCAGAGAGGCCAAATAAAAGTTTCAGATCAAGGGTGGCTATAATTGAAAGGGTCCAATAAGTATTTAAAACCACCCCTGCTGAGACTGCTAAGATTTCTGAATTTCAAATTGGCATTTTATATTTGACAAGGTGACATTGTATAAGAAATGTATTGTAAAACACTGCTGTGCGATAGGAAAATGATTGAATGTAAATATTTCAAGATGTGGACCACTGTTCAAATGTTATCATAAATCTCTGCCATTGTTTTAGGGGGTAACTCCTCCTGCATATAAGAGCTGGAGTGAGAGATCTAGCCTTTTGAAGAGAAATCATTAGCAAGTGTCTGCATTTTTTTCCTACTAGTCTGGTTTGACCACAAAAATATCCCATTAGATCTTTTACTTTATTATCATATGTTTATTTCCTCCCAGGGAAACCCTATGTTGAACATAAAACATCTGGCCTGGTTTTTGTTTAATGTCGTAAAGTGTCACTGCTGTGTGGAAGAATGGAATGAGACCATTTTCTCTCAGACTTTCAGAGGGAAAGGAAGAAGCTTGGACTGTCATTTTCAACTTTCCTTCTGTTTTTTGCAGGTTTGGAAGGTTCACAGTTGCTGCTCTTCAGTCCAAAGTAGAACAATATGAACGTGAAACCAATCGCCTCAAGAAAGCCCTAGAACGAAGTGATAAGTATATAGAAGAACTGGAATCTCAAATTGTACAGCTAAAAAGTTCCAGTGAGGAGAAGGAAGCCCTGAGTTCCATTTGCCAGAGAGTACTCTCCACAGAAGGGACAGGAAGCAAAGGCAGTGAGGAGGATCTGGCAGTAAATCACCAAGGTGATGGGGCCAGAAAGCAGCTTGGCTCATCCGCCTCAAGTTCTCACCTAACGAAGCCTTCTAGCAGTTCTGCCAGGCAAGAAACCACCAGTAAAACAGAACCTAATTGTTCTGCAAACAAAGACCTTTACCAAAAACAGGTGGAGATAATGTTGAATGTGACAGACACAAGTATGGATACTTACTTGGAAAGGGAATGGAATAATAAGCCCAGTGACTGTGAACCCTACAAAGATGAAGAGCTGTATGACCTTCCAGCTCCTTGTACTCCTTTGTCCCTTAGTTGCCTTCAACTCAGTACTCCAGAAAACAGAGAGAATGCTGTGAGCAAAGCAGGAGGCTCCAAAAAGCACTCCAACCACCTAAGAAAACTGGTGTTTGATGATTTTTGTGATTCTCCAAATGCTAGTACTAAAGATTCTTCCGAAGATGACAGAAGTGAAAATGAAAAGAAATCAGAGTGTTTTACTTCCCCAAAGACTTTTTGGGACTGTTGTACGACAAGCTATGCCCAAAGCTTGGATTTTGAAAGTTTAGAGGGAAACACAATAGCCAATTCTGTTGGAGAAATCTCTAAACTGAGTGAAAAGTCAGGCTCATGCTTGTCCAAGAGGTTGAATTCTATTCGCTCTTTTGAAATGAATCGGACAAGAACGTCCAGTGAAGCATCAATGGATGCGGCTTACCTGGACAAAATCTCTGAGTTGGATTCAATGATGTCAGAGTCAGACAATAGCAAGAGCCCTTGTAATAACGGTTTTAAGTCAGTGGATTTGGATGGGTTATCAAAGTCATCTCAAAGCAGCGAGTTTCTTGAGGAGCCAGATAAGTTGGAAGAAAGAACTAAGTCAAACCTTTCCAAAGGTTCTCTAACTGCTGATCAATTGGAAAATGGAAATGAATGGAAGTCCACTTCGTTTTTCCTCCTCTCCCCATCTGACCAGGAAATGAATGAAGATTTTTCACTCCATCCCAGTTCTAACTCAGGAACTAACGAAATCAAACCCCCAAGCTGTTTGTTTCAGACTGAGTTTTCCCAGGGTGTTTTGTTAAGCAGTTCACATCGGCTATTTGAAGATCAGAGGTTTGGGTCATCTTTGTTTAAGATGTCCTCGGAGATGCATGGTCTTCATAACCATCTTCAGTCTCCCTGGTCCACTTCCTTTGTGCCTGAGAAGAGAAATAAAAATGTGAATCAATCAACAAAAAGAAAAATCCAGAGCAGCCTTTCCAATGCCAGCCCATCTAAAGCAACTAAAAGTTGACTCAGTAGAAAGGTGCCATTTCAGTTTATGTCCTAAAAGGAATATGTTATTAAAGTTATTTTTCCCCTCATGAAAGTTCTCTACAATTTTGAATTTCGAGTTGACAATATAGTAAGTCTTGTCGAGTCAAAAGGGCAGATGAGTCTAAGCCCATAATACATTTGTTCATTTGAGGAATTTGTTCTTTCTGATTTTATTTGGGGATCTATTTAACCGAAAAAGTAGGGAAAGGGTTTCATTATTTACAATGTATATTTTATGTATGTGGTTTGGGGCCAATTTTGTTTTCTTGGACCTTGATTTAACTGTTTAATACGATGGCCTGTTAATAAGCCTCAGTTGTCTTCAGACCTGGATTTCTTAAACTTTTTTGTGTTTTATACACACTGCACATAAGACACTTGAGTTTTTCTAAAGCTTTTCCTTGGATGGAAACTTTTGCCTTCCTCTTTTTATTTATATTCAATTATGGTCTTTTATATAAGGCCATAATAGAGAAATAGCACTCTAACTGTAGTCCAATATTCATTGACTTCTTTTAAGAAAGGTTTTTCATGTATATGTTTTCACTTTTAACTTTGTGTTGTCCTGCTAGTCTGCTTTTTGTGAAAATGTTCTGCTAGTCTGAAAGAATGCATTTTCAGTGTGAAAATATTTGTTTTTATGTCAGGTAGTGTTTATTTCTCATCTTTGTGTGTGTGTATGTTGAAAGTCAGAAATGGAGCCAACTTGGGGGAAAAGGCATGGAAGAGTTTGGTGTAGCAGAGCCTATACTTGTTTGATTCATCATTCCAGATATACAGCTACAGAAGCACTCATTGCCAAGTCCTTGATCCGCTTACATCCCAGGGAAATTTTTTTCAGGTGATGAAGTTTTTGTTTGCATGTTACAGTTCTTCGTGAAGCTCTGTATGCATGGTAGCATTCTTGCTTGCACTGGTTTTCTTAAGAAAACGAAGTTTCAGTTGGCTAATAGAATATCTTTTATGTAGGATTTTAAAAAGTGTTCATGAATGTTGAGAAGGGGTGAGAATAGGTGAGGTAAGCACAATTTTTAATTTAGGCTCTGGAAAAGTCTGTTATTCTAAACATGTTTGGTATGCCTACATAGGCCTTTAAAACTGGTTTGTATGCTAATGACTTGTTTATCTAATGTGCACTGAACATTTTACATTAATACTGCATGGTTTTCTATGTGAATTGAATAAAGGATGTCATAAGCACTATAATCCTTCTTGTTGTCCTGATGTTGTCTCAGATATTTTGTTTTTAAAAAACAGTAAAACTTCGCTTATGTTTCGTTTTTGATTCTTCTAACACAGGGGTTGACAACTTGTAACCCATCGATCAGATCTAACCAGTACCTGTTTTTGTGAAAGGCCTGTGAACTAAAAATGTTTTTTTAGAGCTTGAATGTAATTTTTTTTTAAAACAAATAATGTTTTGTAACCTGGGAAAATGGTATGAAATCCAGATTTCAGTGGTTCAAATAAAATCTTTTAAGTTATCTGTAGCCACTTTTGCTCTGCAATAGCAATTGAATAGTTGTGATAAGATCAGATGACCCACAAAGTTTAAAATACCTACTGTGTGGGCTTTTACAGAAAAATTGCTGGCCCCGGTTATAATAGCCTATCAGGAACCAATGAAACTATAAAATTAGAACATCACTCTGATGACTTAGAGAATCATGGCCTCCATTTTTAGAAGTAATTAGAATCCCCATTCTCCAAATATATATAAAGCATAACTGGGGTTTGATCATATGTGGTTTCCAACAGCTGCATTATTTTATCTTTCTAATATGGTAAAGCTAATAAATACTTTGAGATGTTAGCAGTCGAAATATCTTTGATAATGTGATTATAAAAATTAAAAATTCTATTAAATGGGGGCCAGGGATATGGCTCAGTAGTAGACAATTTGCCTTAACTGTGTGAGGTTCTGGGTTTAATTGCTGACCTTTGAGGGCTCCTGAGCACTGCTAGATACCAAACCTCCCCACTACCTCCCCCCAACCCCACCCCGCCCCTGAAAAAAACAATTACCATTAAATATAAAAATCTTAATTTTTTTTGAGTAATAACATGAGTAGTAAGCTTGGGGATAAAACAAACTTGAATTCTGTCTGAAATGCTTGTCTACCAAGAACGTGTCTGTTTCTTAAATATATCCTGACACTACTGTGGAAATCTGGAGTTTGTAAATTTGATTTGCTAATGCCTCTGTGGACTGGATCATTGCCCAGCCACTTGAGAAAACACAGTCCCATCTTCCCCAAAACCTTTCCTTTATTAATGTGATCAAATCAGTATTCTACTGAAGGAAAATCTACTGGATATTTTTTAAATTGGGGTAGGGGATGGGGGCTTGAGAAACACCTGGCAGTACCCAGGGGTTACTTCTGGCTCTGCACTCTAGAATTAGTCCTGGCAGTGCTTGGGGGAACGTATGGGATGTCAAGGATTGAACCCGAAGTTTCACCCTACCAGCTGTACTATCTCTCCAGCCCAGGGATTTTGTTTTAATCACACATTTTCATGTGTATGCTTACTCATAATCCACCAAGACCAGTCCGTTCTTTTACATTTTAATATTTATGCCAAAAGCAAAAATACCTTTTATTTCAGCTATTTCTTAACCCGCATCTCATCCTCTTTCAAACTTTGAAAGCCAAGAAATGTTTTTTCCTGGTTTACAAATAAGTTGAGGGTTGGTAATGGCTGGCCAGAGTCTTGCAACTGGATCTCTGATCTAGGGCTTGTATTCCATTTTAGGCAAAAGAATGAATGAATTTGAAATTCCTACGGATTCTTTTTTTTAAAGCAGGAAGCATGCTGATTTTGGAGTATTGGCATGCTTCTTTTCAAATTGTATTTGATTTCTACTTAAGTTCCTGGGTCTAGTTTAACTATGGAGAAGCAGCCCAGTTATAGGAACTATGTATGCCATTGTGTGGGGGGGGGAGGGGAAATGTGTGCCATTTTTGGAATAGATTCCACTGGAGGCTAGAAAACACTAAAGAAGATTAGTGCCCTACTGATGCTCTACTGATAAAGCGAGCTCTTAATCACTTCTCACCTTTATAAAACAGCAGCAGTTTATTTTTCTTCTTTAATTAATGAAATGGCTAAGGGAATGTGACATGCCACTAGGCTTTGTGGGTTTTTTCTTTTTTCTTTCTTTTTTGAGCCACAACTTGTGGTGCACAGGGCTTTCTACTGGCTGGCCCTGTGCTCAGATTACTCACTGTCATACTGGGATGGAACTGGAACCTGCCAAGGCTAGTTCCTTAACTAACCCCTGTATCATTAGTTCTCCAGTTCTGGTGTTCATCCTTTAATTTTCAAATTCTTCATTCAACAATGACAAGTCCTTTTTCTGATTTTAATGAATGATCAGAAAAACTATTTCATACAGCCTTTTTTTTTCTTTAATTTCTGGCATCTGCCTTGGTTTGAAACCAAGTTGCCACTGAACCAAAGAACATTGATGGTGAACCCTATGATGTTACAGGAACTTTTTCTATGTACTAGAATGGTCTAAATTTTTTAAACCCCGCCCCCCCTTTTTTTAACCTTTGAATGATAGTTGTAGAAAACATCAAATTGAGATTAACAACTCTATGGACTGTGGCCTATTAGAAGGGTTTCCCAAAGCTTAGTTCCTATTTGTGCGAGTCCAACAACACAATCTTTGCCTAGCACCATGTAACTCGATCCCTTTAATAATACTTGGCAGAGAGAAAACCTTTTAAGCAATGATCTCAGAGTGCATAGTGAACATTTATTGCCTAATTCTCGGAACCCCACTCAGAGTGAGGAAGCATCTATTAAGATGCAGATTTCTTTTAAAAACCCATCTGGAGCTTAGGCTATAAGGATGTCTTCTGTTTTTTAAGATAGTGAAGAACACCTTGAACTGAAGCCCCTCTTCTATGTGTCTTAACAATGAACCCATCCTCAGTAATAAATGCTAGTTGGGTTACCCAAATACGGAGAAATATGTGTCTTGTATCAATAACTTGGTAGCCTGAAGAATGCAGGCTCCAGGGAGCATGGTTTTGATCTGGGCGAGGAAAACCAAGTTATACTCTAATTTGAATATTAAAGCATTGGTAGGGAGAAAAGTTACCAAGCTGGGACCTGAGAGATAGTGCGGCGAATAAGGTGCTTTGCCTTGCTTGGGGCCAACTCTGATTCTATCCTCAGCACCACCAGGAGCGATCCCTGAGCACAGAGCCAGGAGTTAATCTTGAGCATCTCCGGGTATGCTCCCCAACATAAGAAAAGTAACTATTTTGAGGATGACTCAAAGAGCAGAGAGAAAACCAGGCGCTTCCCGGAAGTGGCATTTGGGCCGGGTTTTTAAGGATGAGTAAGTTCAGTGCAGCGTGTCTTCTTGCGCTTTCGCTCTGATTCAGTCCAGGCGCTGATTTCGCTGGCGTCTCGTCTCGGGAGAGGTGCTGGAAGTATCTCTTCTCTAATGTCCGCGCCCCAGATAGAAGAAAAAAAAAAGTTCCTGCCCTGCTCATCTAAGCTTGCAACTCTGGCAACTTTGGCTCCGTCAGCCTCCTCTCTCTGGGCGTCCTTGGGGACCGCGGTAGGCCCGTCCTTGCAGCTTAGGCCGGCGGTCTGATGGCGAGACAGTGACTCCCTGGGCGCTGGAAGGCTCAGGAGGTGGCAGGGCTGGCCCATCATCAGCCCATTAAGCCGAGGCTTGGCGCTGGCAGGGCCGCAAGGGGCGACCTCGTCTCACTCTGAGGTCAGCTTTGTGCTGGGGCGGGATTGTGAAGTCTGACCGGGTCTCCTGGCGCCCCGCCCCCCTGCATCCCCCTGATCCGATCCCTGCGAACCCAGTGTACCCAAATTCCGGAAGGCTGTGCCACTCCCCAACCCCAGCCAGCCCGAAGTTCCCGGCGCTTTTTATTTGGGGGGGGGGGGGGGGGGGTGGAGAGGAAGGGTACTCTCTGGGAGTCTAGCCCAGACACCACCCCCAAGAAACGGCCCCGTACGACGCTTTCCTTCCATTCCACTCAGACAGGCGAAACCTGGCGAAGGAACACGCGAAACCAACAAAAGAGTTTTCCTTTCCACCTTAACCTTGCACACAATCCTTTAACAAATTAATTAATCCTAATGAATTAACACTTCATTTATTTAAACGCGCTACAGTCCATGAATTAAATTTTCATGCAGTGATTAAAGGCTGTTAAAATATGCATGATTTCGTTAAAATTTTATAATAAATCAGGGCAATGTGTTACATGACAAGGCAACTATTTCCCAGTCCCTCGCAAGGGGCTTTGATTTGTGCAGGCAGCGAGGAGGAGGGGCGGCTGGCTGCGGCGCCGGCGTTCTCGGGAGTCGGGCGACAGGACCCAGCTCGTCACTCCCGCGTCCCCGACGCGCGGCTGCTGCGGGGGGGATCCGGCCCGGGCCCAGCCGAGCGGCGCCGGCACCGGGGGACACGCCCGCCCTGCGCTCCGGGGAAGGGGGCGGGGGGAGGCCTCTGCGGTCCCTGGAACACCCGCTTAGCTGCTGCCAAACCCCCGCGCCGGGAGCGGGGTCCGGGCGGCCGGTGGGCGGCTCTCCCTGGCAAAGGAAGGCGGTGCAACTTGCGTCTGGTCGAGCGGGGTCCCGGGGGCGCGCGTCCTTTGGAAAATGGGGTTTGTTCCTAGTGGGTTTTAATGCCTCGGGACCACGGAGACCTTCTCTGACCCGCGCACTTTTGCAGCCTCTGCGGGGACGGGTTCGGGGCGAGTGAGGTCTCTACCTGGAGCCCAAAGGACTTGGGTGCGGGGAGGGAGCATGGGGGGCCGCCACGCTTAAAGCTGGCCAGAGGTAGGTGATCTTAAACCCACACAGGGATTAGTGGAGGGGGATGGAGACAGGGATGTCAACACACTCTGCGACCAGATGCGTTACTGACAATGAGCTTCACTGAGCTCCATCACTCAGGTCCCAGGGGAGGGGTTCTGCCTCCCGGGAGAGATCTCCACTGAAGTTGCATTTGAAGGAAAAGAAGGAAGGAAGGAAGGAAGGAAGGAAGGAAGGAAGGAAGGAAGGAAGGAAGGAAGGAAGGGAGGGAGGGAGGGAGGGAGGGAGGGAGGGAGGGAGGGAGGGAGGGAGGGAGGGAGGGGAGGAGGAGGAGGAGGAGGAGGAGGAGGAGGAGGAGGAGGAGAA